CTCCCCCCTGCACTTTACTTTCCTACAAAAATACACTTGGACTATTTACTGCAAAACTCAGCAAGGGAGGCTCTAATCTGAGAGGCTTACTGGTGCCAGTGTGAGATTTTCCACTGGGTTTCCACAGGGTTCAGATCCAGTCCTGAGGTTGTTATTCACCTATCCAGCTTGTTTGCTGTAAACTTAAACATGTACTTACAGGATGAAATGATTTGTGGAACTAAGGCTTGGAAACCCCCAATTTCTCCTCTCCTCAGCATAAAGAAAGAATTGACAAATCACATGAGAAGCTAGTCATGAGGACTACCTGGAAGGAAATTCAGGGAGGCATAAAGAAAGAATTGACAAATCACATGAGAAGCTAGTCATGAGGACTACCTGGAAGGAAATTCAGGGAGGACAAAAGTAAAAAAAAAAAAAAAAAAATTAAAAAAATAAAATTAAAAAATAATAAAAAAGAGAAACAAATCCAAACCTCTTTTCCAGCACTTCATTCTTACAGAAAATATCTACAGCTTCCAGAAGAATTTAATCTATTTTCCAGCATCCACCAGAATAACAGTCCTTCTCAAAACACCAGCACAGATGCAACATCAGATGCGATGTTCTGACAGCGCAGGAAACAACCTTTGCAGTCCAGCAGGAAAAAGGTCAGATCCTCTTTTCCCTCTTTCTGCTCAGAGAACCCTCAGAAAATGCTGCTGTAAGAACTCTGCTCAGGTGTGAACACTTACCCTGTCCCATGGCTGTTTTTCTCTCAGCATGAGGAGATGGACCTACCTCAGCTAGTAAAGCTCTGAGCCCAGTCAATGCCTGGAATCATAGTGCAGAATGTTCAATATATTCTTTTCTAAATATCTGATTCTTAGCTTAAATGTCATATTCCTTCTTCTTTAATTACAGATATAACCTGGAACTATGAGTTATTTCTCCAGTGCAGAATCATATATTTTAATTTTTTTAGTGGGATGTTTGTTACCAAGAGCAAGAATTTCAGCATTTCACACAGTTCCCTAACTTTTTACCCTCTCTTCACACTATTCAGGCCTCTCACTGTTCCTTTCTTTGTCTTGCCAGATTTCTTGTTCAATGACTCCATTAACTCTGATGGAAAGTTCTTTCAGCTGTTTTCCTCACTGCTGCTCTATTTTTTTTTCCAGACAAAACAAGGGTACATCTCAGCTGCTGAAGCACTGTTCCCAGCAGCCACTATATCCAGGAAGGCAGGCATTTAGGAGGCATTTATGCAATGCCCCCTCTCCTGTGGAAAAGGAGGCACCCCTGTGTTTCTTCATTTTTTCCCAAGGGTTACCAGAAGTCTGTCATGACTTCTGTCCCCACCTCTCTGTGACCACTCTGGTGTCATCCTGAGCCCCAGCCCCAGCTCAGGAAGGGTGAGCACAGGTCTTTTGGGAATCCCAATGCCCTGTTTGTGTGCTGAGGGGAAATAACTCCATGTGCCATAAGATGTGGAATTTTATGATTGTAAGCAATTTTAGAGGGAATCCAACAGAACCATGAATGGCAAACGGCTGCTTTGGGTACAGTAATATTTTCCATCAAGAAGTTGTTATCAAATGGATGGAGGTACTGGTATTGCTGTCTTGATCCTGATACTGCACACTCCTCTTAGATTTTATTTGTGCTAAGCAACAATCCAAACACCTTTTTGGCTGTGTTTTAGGAGGCAGTACAGATTCAACATGCACTTTTGAATCTAAAGCAATAAGGAAAAATATTACTTGTGATAACTGTAACCCCACTGCAAAGGAATGCTTGAGAGATTGTAATATTTACCAGAAAGGTGGAAGGGTCTGAAGAAAAAACAAATAACTCCTTAGAGCAAAGCTGCTCTTTCATCCCATCCTCTCTTCATCCCATGTCATAGTCAGTTCTGTGATCCCTGAACAGATATTTTTAAAAATATGTTCTTCAAACTGTTTATATAAAAGTTAACATTTAAAACTTGGAAGAAAATGCAATTTTCTATGATTATACTCCTTGTAGAATCTTAGACAGCTTTAAAATTATCAAAGGTGTAGTGAAATATAAACAGCTACATCAGTGCCATGACTGTGCGTCTGCCTAAAGATTACAAATTAAGGTAGAACGTATCCATAAAAATATGGATTATGGACTCATTCTTCTAGAGGACACCCAGCTTCTTCAAATTTCATTAAGTGTTAGATTGTGGTACTCTTACCAGTTGCAAGTGATGTCTTAATTATTCATTCCAATGGGCTAATTCAAAGAACTGGTTATTATGCAGCTTGAAAAAAGGTATCACAATCTAACCTTAAAAGCTGAGTGCTCTCAATGCACACTAGTACCAGGCTCATTGCCAAGAAAATTAATGTTGGGCTTTTGAGGCAAATAATATTCATTGTTTTACACAAATTATATTTTCTACCAAAATCATATGAGAAATTTCTTAACTTATAGACTGAATCCTCTGAGAGGAGGGGAAAATATCTCCCGTTTCACTGCCTAAGTGTCTGTTCCATTTAAAGGATATTAGCTAGCCAAATGAAAAATGCATGAATCAATCAGCAACAAGGACCTTGATCTCCAAATGAGACAATGCTGAGCTTTGAGATTTATGGTCTTGCTTCCAGAATTCCATTATTTGGAGGAACAACAACAATAACAATGGGAGATGACATCAGAATAATGCGTGTTCTTCTTTTCTTTTCCTTTCCTGTTGATCACAAGATGCTGACTTTGTGTCATTCACCCCTGTCAAATGAGTAAATGTGCAGTGCTTTAAAACCTCACCAGATGCACGCTGGGTTCAAAATAAAATGAGAATATCTTGAATGGAAGAACATTACTTCCACTTACATTTTGCACTGCTAATTAGTTTTTCCACAGAGCAATTAGCTTTTTCTTCCCTTTTGCCTTTATTTCTTCTGCAAACAGAACTTCTTTTGATTTTTGAACAGAGAAAACATATCATTGGGAGTCATACTGCACTGGTGTAAGGCAGACAAGGCTTTAATTCTAACCCCTTGTGATTCTTGTTTTCTTTTCCCTATAAAACTGCAGTTGCCCCTTGATTAGATAATATCTGCAGTGGGTGAACTTCCTTCAGACAGTGCCTGGCAAGACCTGCCATAAGAGGCTTAAATGCTTCTGCCATAATACCAAAAGTGAGAGAAGGAAAGGAGGGGTTTATTTACTTGAGGAAGCAAGAGGTAGTCTCATTAGCACAATCTGGACACAAGAACATTCACAGCTTATTGTATCTTATAATGAAAACATGCACGCATTTGAAATTTGATGCATACATATGAAAGTAACTGTAAAGATCAGACTAAAACTCAGCCCTAAACTCTCTTTAGATGAGGGGATTTAGAATTTGTTCAGTGCCTTATCTTGCATGAGCTCCTTTCTGGGGTTGTCTCCCTTCTGCAATTATCATGGCACAGTTCAGCCAGCAAGGCAGGAAGGAAAGGTAAAGGATATATCAGAGATAGGAATGCCCTTTCTACCTTACTTCAGTAACTTACAGGTTATCCAAATCCTTGATATAATTTTAGGACACATCAAGCTAACCAGGTAAACCTCTTCCCCTGATGACATGATCCTCATTTGGGATGACAGTGAGTTTAATACAGAATACAGTTAGGGAGGTAAAGAATTGAATCACTCGAAATTTCTTCACCTTTCAGGAGTAACATCTGCAATGAAAATGGCATCCACGATGAAATCACAGCCCTGTATACCAACCTTTGTATAGAAAAAGGTAAATTCCGGTGTTTAACTGCAAAACCAACAACTTCATGGTTGACATGGAATCTCTTCTCAGCAACTTTGTGCATTCCCTTACAAATAAATCAGCACAGAACATTATTCAACACATTTAACTAGCAGAGAGAAAACCCCTCCAAAGAAATTGTAGGTGCTCTCCAACAGAAAACAATGCCTACTGGGGTGCCATCTCCAGTAACACGAGCAAAAAAATACACCTAAAACGTGGACCTGAGGTAAATGTAGTAATGGAACTACTAGTAAATCACTACTATATTACTGTGAAAAAGGGAAAGTGCTCATCACGGAACTGCAGAAGTGGTGTTGTTTGTAGCCATGAATGTATTGTGTGATCTTGTTCTTTGGAGAGAGATCCAGTGTGCCACAGTCAGAACAGCCTTCCATTCTTGGTAAGAAATCCACACTTCCTAGCAGGAACATGAATTAAACCAAGAACCATTTCTTCCTCAGATTATTTAAGCTAATATTTTAATCCCCTTTCAGCCTCTGTATGCTTATCACTTACTACTTTTACGTTTGCTTTCCCAGAGGAACAACTGTTCACCACCTCAGGATACATTTTACAAAATGTATGATGAAGACTATGAGGAGAAAGCAACTGCTTTCTGTACTTCTGACATGATACAAAAGCTGTCAACACAGGAATTCCTCACTGGCTTGAGTAAGTTTAGGACTAGACAATTTTAAACACAAGATTTATGTTTAAAAAAGACAATGGAAAACAGCCATGGGAAAATTTTGAAAATATGGTGGCTAAGAAACCATCTGGCATGGAAAATATTCATTTTAATATTAAAAATATCAGATTTTTTTTTTTTTTTTTAAGGCAGGCATCCATTTTGTATACTTTGAGTAAGTTGTTATGATTATTCATATATCATCATTACTGGGGGTGCTTGCTTAACAAGAAATTCTTATGTTTTCAGAGTTCAGTTGCTCCTGCTGTTTTATAGGATCAGTTTGCTGAGACCAGCAGTCCTCAGGTCATTTATTTCACACAAACCAACCTCTCCCTGTCTGGCCACTGCTGCTGTCCTGAGTGATGTGGCCATATAGAAGGCACTTCAATGTAGGACATCATGGCATTGTCTGGAGCTGCTTAGTTGATGACTCAGTCCCATTTCCAGGGAAATTAGTGACAGAAAAAAAACCTTCTTTGTACCTCGTACATACCCTGGTGAATCATGTTTTGGAGAGAGGATAAGGGAATGGACTGTACTTAAGCTCAAAATTAACCTGTAACCTTAAAAAAGAAGATCCCCGGGCTTTATGGCCTGGAGGAATTAGAAAGTTTGTACATCTTTGAGAAGAAAAACACAACTCAGTGTGAGGGGAAACAGTAAACGCAAGCAGATACTAGTTCCCATTTTGTGGGAGAGTCTACCTTTTTGACATTGTTCCTGTTCAGAAGCAGAATAAAATTCCTTCACAATTTTTCCTTGAAGTTAAGTGCTAACAGAGAAAAGTATTTAAGATTAACCCAAATGCTTTGCTTTGACTTTGAAAATTTTAAAGTGTCTGAATTAAAATAAATTTTGAAATTAAAATAAAAATCTAACATCTTTAATTTGATCAGGTATTTTTTTTACATTTTTCTTGTAATCAGATTTCAAGGAGGTAACATTTTCCATATAAAGTTTTCCTGAAAAGTTCCTGACAGGCAAGGAAAATAACTGGGCACAGGTACCACAGAGTTTTTAAAATACACCCCATTGCAGCAGATAACTGTATGTACAATAAGGCTTTGACTGTGCTGTTCTAACTTGCTCTCAGCACAGTTTCTTTACCTGCCTTTGTTGCTCCAAATTAGACTGCTAATCTGAAGGAAGGGTCCTTGTGGTCCTGTGATGACACTCCTTTATTTATCAAGAGATGCCCACTGAAAGAAAAAAAAAAAAAAAAAAAGGTGACCTCAGTGGCCTCCTGCAGATGGAGGAATCTGGAGATCTGAAGTTAGGTTTCCCATTTCAGCAACATACTGTGCTAACTTACAGTGGCTCTTCTGTTAGCTAAGAGCATCACCCAGCTTCCAGCACGGCTACAGCTGCAGGGAAGGACTGGCAGCTAACACACTGATGAGTAAGTATCTATTGAGATTCACTCATTACTATTAATTTCCCCACTGCTTCCAACTGATTCAGGAACTACTTATGGAAATTCTTCTTCTTCTGTCTCGCTGAAATCCAGCGCTGTTGCTGTCAAACCTGCCAACAGGCGCAGCAATGCTACTGTGATAAAATAAGTCCAATTCCATCCCAATCTTGCTTTCCTAGGGAAGAACAGAACTCATTAAATAATTATCAACTGTGACAAGAAAGTAGCTGGCCAAACACTTGCTGCTAATCTAGGCATGACAGCAGGACTATACCTTTCAAAGCAGTAATTAGTTAGATGAACAACAACATAAGTACCAGACAATGACACGGAAAGGACTGTCCCTAAAGGACAGATCCATTATTCGTAGGGTTCAGTGTTTGTTTGACTTATGAATGTTATTTTGCAGTATAAAATTACATTTCTCCTCTGCTGCCTTTCTCATTGTTTTCTGCACAGTTTATGGAAGAAGGCAGAGAGAAAATCTGGAGCTGAAGCCATGAGAGAGCAGGTGGCAGAAGCTCTGCAAGTCCTTCCTTACATTCATGAAACCAGGGTAGGTGGATAGATCTCACAGTAGGGCACCACCATCAGCCTGCACCCCCTGTCTTGTGTGGATAAGAAATCTGGTACTTGCACTCTGCCCATGTTTTATGCTTGGACTGCTACTCACCCAGTACAGATTTATAGATTAGGTCTGGTAGTCCTCATGACTTTCCTTTCTCAACAGGGCAGGCTCTTTGGTGGTGTAAATTGGTGTAGCACAATAGAAGCCATTGTAATAATACAGATTTATCCACAACACACACCAAAACAGCAGTAAGTGCCAGAGGTGTTGTCCTACCAGCAAAAAGAGATCACAAGCCCAAACTGCTACCATTGAATGTGGAAAGCAGGATTACAATCACACGTAGAGTCAAAGCTGAAATTACACCCAGCCAAACTTGTTTTCAACTGGACTGTTCCAGTGCTTAAAGTTAAGTATACACATAAGTGTTTGCAGGATTAAAGCCTTGGTTTGTAATGACAGAGCAAATCCAAATAGAGATGGATTAGCTGGCAAGGGGCAGGTGAGGTGGTCAAAGGCACATGCAGTTCATCATATGGCTCTGTAATTTACTACGCGATTATCACAACTACATATTTGGTGTGGGGATATAGATATACATGCACACATGTATACACAGAGCCAAACTTTATTGGCACAGAGGCCCCACAGTCGTTTCAAATTTAGACTCTGGGCTGCACTTGTTCCAGGACTGTGTGTCTATTGCCAACACACTGAAGCGCCTCAGGCTTCAGTCTGATTCTTTGTTTGCTTGCCCATTAAAGTTCTTATCCCACACTCCCTTTTGGCAGAAAATTTTGTTATTTCTGCTTTATGCTGGCCTAGGCCCTTCTCTTGCCTCTGTTCCTATTAACCTATAGCAGTGACAGCCAGGAGCAAACTGAAGCAGCTGGTTGGAGATGCTACTATCAGACTAAGAAACAGCTGCTGTGCAGAGGGGCCACCCTGAAAAACTTCTATTGCAGCATTGCTGGGCTGTACTTTGGCCATTGCAGTTGGGGAATTGGGGAAAGAGAGCACTTTCATTTTCAGATATTTAATTGCTGAAAAATGTAGGGGTGTGTGCAGCATCTTTATTGGATGTCACACAGAAGTAATGCTTTCCAGGTATTTTTTGGCACTTCACATCATTATCCTCTTACTGCCAGCATGGAATGGCCCCATGTTGCAACTCAGTGTGCAACTGACTTCCAATTTTTCTGTTTAAATTAATATTTACCAGTTGGTTATTTTTGGCAGACTTTTTTTTGATAGCACTGATTCAAAACAAATAGTCAAATTCTGTCCTTGGTTACAGCCTATGACATTTGGAGTTAACTCCACTTTTACCAATGCCACCAAGGACAGCCACCGTCCTTTTCCTGCCTTTTTATAGCATGACCTTTGCTCTGTACTTACCTTTAGATAAGAGTTGGGCTGCAGTTTTAACTTTGAATAAGTTGGGATACAGCATTGAGTAGAGCTCCAAAATGTATTGATTTGGCACTCCTCTAAGATATTTAATAGTCCCTGCACCTTACCCTTCAGCAACCGGTCACTTCAGAATACCATCGTGTATGTGCAGAAGAAGCTCTTGCAAAAGCACTACTAATTAGACCTTTGCTATCAGCCAAAAAAAATAATGACTGGAGTACTTTTGTATCCATCAAAAATTGGGTGGATTAATCAATTCAGTCTTATTTTAGTTATTTCTAAACTACAGCTGTAGCAGAGTCACTGACCAGGACAAAGGACCTACACCATAATTTGAATAGACTCAGAGCAAGTGAGATACTCGAGGAAGCTGCACAGAATTTTCTGCATATCCTGCTGCATGTTTGCCTCCACACCTCTGTAAATGTGCAGCATGCCTGAGTCTGGGATATTGATATGAATAAAAACCTCGGCTATGTGTACAGAAAAGCTATAAAATGGCATGGCAGTGCCTGTGTAATTGGCATGTGGGCCTAAGAACTGTTGCATTTGACTCACATTAAGAGCTATACTTCGAACCACATTCCTGTTTGTCATCTTAGGGGTGGGAAAATGTCGAAAGAACAAAGTCAGCCACCAAGGCTGCCAAGCTAAGTTTGCTGTGACATTGATAAATATTCAAGCCAATGTCTTTCAAATGTTATTGTGAATCACCTTTCCCTCCTTCCTTCCCCTGCTTCAGTCATCTTGCTGGCTCAGAATATTCACCTTTGTCTCAGACCTCAGCTGCCTTCACTTTATTGCATATGATTGCTATTGTCTTTGTCTCTTTTATCCGCTTCACTGTGTCTCATTTTCCTAAAGTATCTGGCACCCACTTTTCCATAACACTGTTCCTTTGTTTCAGGAAAACATAATTTCAGGAGGCAGCAGAAATACAGTTCCAAAGGCCACAGGGTGACATCCTCTCTCACCTGATCTTTATTCATATCGGGGTTTAATGGTACTTTTTTTTTTCCATTTCTCAAGCACCCTGCAACACCCTTCCTCCCTGACAGGAAGGCACATTTTATTTCTCATAAAAATGCTTTCCTACCAATCTTCTGTTCTTCAGAAGTTTCAGAGACCTGTCTGTTAAATGCTGGTTTTCTCATGTGGATGGACCTGTTGACCTGGTTGTGGTTTATTACTGTTTTGACACTTTTTTCTCCTTCCTAGATTTGGAATAACTTAGACCCTTTTGTCATTTCCAATTCCTGTCATATTGGCTTCAGCAGCAATCTTCCCAAATTCTGTTTTGAACACTGTGGTAGGAACAATTGAGAATTCTAAATATCTGAGCTGATTGTCTTTCTAAAAGTAATATTTTTAACATAATACCATTAATCTTGTGTTTGGGGCTCATATATAATCAACCTGCCCCGGATATCATCAACACCAAAAAAAAAAAAAAAAAAAAAAAAAAAAAAAAAAAAAAAAAAAAAAAAAAAAAAAAAGTACTTTCTCTCATTTCTACCAACTCAGGAACTCAGGCAAGGATGCCTGATGCTGTTATGCTGTCCTTTTTGTACACTTTCTTAGC